TTCTCACTGTCAGCTTTCTCATCTACGACATCAAATTTTCTTAGATGCCGTCAACTGTCCAGTTGAATCATCACTTTAGCCATGTTCAAACTGCTATGCTACTTAAGATGATGTTTCCAAAATATATGACCACTGGTATTTTCGGATGGGTTTAAGTTGATGCGACAAGGTGAAATGAAAAGTGTTTCGTTTCAGGTTGATCCATATGTTCCTCGTGATCCACGTCCTATTCCACAACCACTGTCACCAGGCAGAAAAATGGAAGCACTGGACTTCTATGCTGAACGAGACAAATGTCTCGAAGTAAGATTACGTTAGAGATTGCACATTATGCTTATAGAATGTGCATTTGCTGCATCCAGTCTGTACCTTCTGCTTCACAAATCTTCGTAAAGAATCACAAAGTAGTGAAAACCGTAGTCATCATAGTAACACCTCCAAAAGATCTGGATTCGATGAGTCGGATCGTTGATTTGTGTGTTTGATTCGAATACAACCACATTAAGTGGCCTCGATTAGTTGCTTACATCCAGTTTGTTGCTTCAGCACTCAAATCCTGACAGAACATTCCACTGCATACAAATTCAATATTTGAATTCAATATCAGTGAAACAGTCGTATAAATGTACAATTCAAGTAACCGATATCGAATTTGATCAATGATCTGAGCGTTGCTCACGCGTTAAAAATTTCGGCCATAAAAATTTCGCTTTATTTTCTGAATTCACTCAAATTGCATGTGATTGGAGGGTGCTCCCTTATGACACTTGATTGGAATTGCCCACATAAAACTGGTTAGACCTGATCACACTTGACGATGTGCTAGTTATTCTTCTAAAGCAAGATGTCTTTCACTTGATCTGATGTCATCTTTTTGTACAACGATGAAATTATCGAATTTCATCAATGCAAAAAAAAATCTCTGCTAGAGCTTACGATTAGCGAAATTTGTTTATTTATTCTCAAGATCCAGCGTTAAACTTCCAACTATCGCAACCAAATTTTATCATTCTGGATGTAACATATTTGAGAAGTTGTTTCGTTGATCAAACTGACTAAAATCGCTCGAAACTGACTTCGATAATACCATTCAGTGTGTTGATTTAGAATAAGTGAAAGCAATCGCTAGGTGTTATTGATTTAGAGATTAATGAAACGCAATCGTTGATCCACATCGACATGATGATTGTGTTGCACCATTTTTGTTTGTTGATATGCATGTGTATTGTTCATTCGGAACCGGTTTTCGTATGCTTCTACAATAATAATCTCACAATGACAGTGAAAATATGCATATCGAAAAACTATAGAGTAAACACTAAAAACAATCGCCACATTGCATCTTCTCTTTGTCTAATGAGACGGCAAACGGAATTTCCATCAATGAAAGATATTTTTTGTAGAATGGACCGTAAAATTTCATTGAGTCACAATTAATGTAGTTACACCAAATGTTCATAGAAGAAATAAATTTGTTTGTTGGGGAAAACCATAAATTATCGATAAGGTTATCAGTGAGACTGATAGATTTGTTTGTTTATGAAAGCACATGTTCATAACCAGTTTATTATTTCATGAAAGTTGTTATTGATAATTTATTTGATTGGAACGGATTGAAGAGCTCTAATCAAGATTCACCGTTTTTGAGAGTTGAGAGCAAAAATTTTCAGAATCAAACACTCTTCGAAGATCCGGAATTTTTGGCCGATGACAGTAGTCTTTTCTTCAGTCGCAGACCGCCGAAATACGTGGAATGGTTGCGACCAGCTGTAGGTTTTTGTTGATTCGAATACTTTGTTTCCGTGATTCAGAAGCCTTTAAGATTTCCTTCAGTGCATCTATACGTGTTATCAGTAAGTGACTCTATTGAACGGCACTCGAAAGCGTTCTGTT